AGTTGGGACAGGATTTATGTCAGTGCTTCTTTAAATAATTGGCAGAATTCAGTGGTGAAAGCTCTTGGGCTGCGCTTTTCTCAGGTGTGACAATTTTTATTATCACTTTGCTCTAGTCACTCATTATTGGTTTATTGAGGTTTTCTATTTCTTTATGGTTCAATGTTGGTAGGTGTATACGCACAGAAATTTATTCTTTTTTTCCCCTAGGTTTTCCAGTTTTGTGTCATAGAGTTCATAGACTTCTCTAATTCTTTGTATTTTTATGTTGTCAGTTTTTGTGTCTGCATTTAAAATTTTGATTTTATTTATTTTGGTATCTCTTCTTCGTGTAGCTGAAGATGTGTCAATTTTGTTTATATTTAAAAAAACAAATTTAGGGGTTGATCTTCATTATTGTTTTTTAAGTCTTAACTTCACTTATTTCTGCTCTTGTCTTTATTAATTTCTTTCCTCCTGCTAATCTGGGGTTTGTTTTTTCTTGATCTGTAAATTACTTGAGGTGTACCATTATGTTATTTATTTGAAGCCATGCTATTTGGGGAGGGGCTCCCCAAGCTTTTTAATGCCTTTCGGGACCTTCCCCCTAGTCTGGACCAGTGTGGGGCTCGCCGTCAGCCAGCTGACCCCCCCAGGAAGGGGCTGCTTCCCGCCCCCCTTGGGTTTCTCTCCTGAAAACGCTCTTTCCTTTTCTCCACGTGGCCAGGCTGTGGATTCCCCAAATTTAAACTCTGCTTCCCTTAGAACTGTAAGTTCCGACTTTAGGTCACCCCCTTGCTCCCAGGTCCGCTGCAGGCTGTGGGAAGCAGCGACAGCGCTTTCTGAAGGCCAGCTGGGTCGCCCGCCTGGGCGCGGCCTCCGCGGGCGCGGCGCGGACACGGCCCGGCCGCCTCGCACCCCGGCCCGGTCGCTGTCAGCGTCCGGGCGCAGCCATTACCCAGTCTCCAAGAAGCTCCGGCTTTCCCTCACCTTTTTGTCTGCTTCTGCGCTTCTCCACTCCCTTCCCGCCTCCGTCCCGCGCCGGCCGCGGCGCCGCTTCCCGCTCCCGGGCGTCTTCCCGGCGCTGCTGTGAGGGGCCGGGCGGGCGGTTCGTGGAAAAGAGTTTTATCTGACTCGTGCTTCTGAGGACTGCGCGCGAAAAGCACAGCGCCGGCATCGGCTTCGCCGAGAGCTTCCGGGAGCGCCCGCTCACGACCGGAGGGGACAGGCGAGCGGGAGTGCCGCTCGCGGCGAAGCGGGCCGCGGGGCTGGCGCTGGCTGACAGGCACTCTCGCGTGAACTAACGGAGGGAGCGGGAACGCCCTGGTTGCCACGGGAGGGCGCCGCCGTGCTGGGGGGTCCGTCCTCCCTGGGGACCGGACGCCTGCCCCGGCCCCGCGCTGCACGCTGGGACCCAGTGTCAGTGCGGCGGGCTGTCCCCCAGAGCTCCGCACGTGTCCGCGAGGCCCGCGTCGGAAGAGCGAGGACGCGTGACTGAGGAAGAGGGAGGAGAGCGACCCATTGCCGGCGGATGCGAGGGTGGAGGCCCCTGTCCGGGACGCGCGTCCTCTCGGGGCTGCGGCCCAGACGCCGGGCCCCGCGCGGGGACACCGCGGGCACCTCCGCTGCCCGACTTAATTTTAGTAGGTCGTAGGTGCTCAGCAATGTGACCTTAACACTTGTACCCCCATAATACGCTAAAATAAAATAAAAAATCGATCATTTAATTTTCCAGTCTTTTTGGTGCAGAGTTATTCGCAATAGTCTCCAAAAATCTTCAGTATTTCCGTGACATCAGTTTTAGTGTCTCTTTTTTAATCTCTGATTTTGTTTATTTGCATTTTCTCGCTTTTTTCTTAGTCCGGATAAAGGTTCATTGATTTTTGCCTTTTCAGGAATCCAGCTGTTTCTTTATTCACCTTCTGTATGTTTTTCCAGTCTCGGTTTCCTTTATTGTCGCTCTGGTCGTTATTGTTGCTCCTCTCCCACTGATTGTGCATTTGGTTCATGTTGTTTCTTCGGTTCCTGGAGGTGAAATAGTAGGTTGTTTATTTGAGCTTTTTCTGCATTTTTGGCGTGGCAGTTGTTGCTATAAACTTACCTGGTAACTGCTGTTGCAGTCTCATATTGGTGTTGGAACGTTGTGTTTCCATTTTACTTCGTCCCAAGAAATTTTAAAATTTTTTCTTAATTCCCTCATTGATCCTTCAGTTGTTCGGGAGCATGCTGTTTACTCTCCACGTATTTGTATGAAGTCCAAAGCTTCTCTTTTAATTGGTTTCTAGTTTAATAACTTTGTGGTCAGAAATCACACTTGAAGTAATTTTGATTTTTAAAAAATGTGTTAAGGCTATTTCTTTTGGCTAATATATGGTCTGTTCTGGGGAGTGTTTTATGTGCCATTGACAGATAGACATGTAAATTTGCAGATGTTGGCTGGAATATTTTGTAAATGTGTGTTGAATCCATTTCATCTGCAGTGTAGTTTAAGTCTGTTTATTTTGTTGATTTTCTGTCTGGACAATCTTTCCAATGCTGGGAGTGGGGTGATAGAATCCCCTACTGCCGTTGTATTGGAATCTTTCTCTCCACTGAGATCTAATAATATTTTCTTTACATATCTTCTTTACATATCTGTGTGTCCATGCATTGGTTGCACTTATAGTTGTTATTTTTTCTTGCTGTCTTAATAGTTGTTATTTTTTCTTGCTGTCTTAATCCCTTTATTATTATATAATGGCCTTTGTCTATCTTTGTATTTTCTGACTTAAAGTCTATTTTATCTGATGTAAATATAGCTACTTCTGCCCTTTGTAGTTTCTGTTTGTGTGAGTTATCTCTTCCCATCTGTTTATTTTCAGTCTATGTTTGTCCGTATGGGTGCAGAGAATTTTTGTAGGCAACTGTAAACATTGTCATACTCAAAATTAAGTCATTTCCATTGTAAAAGAAAACAACCCTGGCCATGACACCTAGGGAAAGCTAAAGACAGAGTTCTCCTGCTTGTGTGCCTGACACCAAAGCTATCAGAAATGACTCTGCAAAACCCAGAACTTTGCATAAAGTCCATCACATCCTGACATGGAAAAATACTTCTGCGGGAACATCTGCCTAGCAGCTGCCTGTCCAAACTTGTTATTGAAATTTGTACACAAGAATAGTTGTCTCAAAAGAATTATGTAATCCCTCTGATTTTTTCTTTAAAACCTTTGTTTTCTTTACCTTTCCGAATGAGCGCACAGTTTACTATGGCACGCATACTCCCTTGCATTGATCTACACCTGAATAAGTATCTTTCTCTGTTACGGGGACTCTGTTATTTGGTTGACACGACGGTACCAGAAACAGTTAAAGTTAAAAACATTTCATATCTGGCAATGCTTCCTGTCTGATTTAAAGAATATCAAATAAGCCTAATATGTCTCCCTTGGTCTTCCAGGGGCCTTCATATCGAAGAGCTAGTTTGAGGTCAAAAAGACTGAATGCAGAATTTGAATTTTTGATTTTGGAAAGTTCGTGAAATATCAGAGGTTTGAAATGCCACTAAAAGTAGGATCACGGGTTGCTTTACAATGATATTCATTTAACCAAAGTGATAATTCAAAGATTTTAAAAAGCAAAAACCTTTACTCTTTGGTAGAGAGGAGACTCCGTTTCCCAAACAATCATGAGACACCGCCAGGCAAGCTAAATCTGTCTTTCTCGTCTCTTATTTCCTTGCAGTTTACTCAAAAAGTAAACAGAAATTTTTTACTGTTTCTTATTAATATCACACAAAAATCTTGTTCAAAAGAGAAAGCCAAATTTACCTTTGTTATTAGTGTATTCTTCATTTTAAAGTTAATTTTGATAAAACCTAATAACGAATATATCTAATAATCACAATCAGCTTTGATTTGACCACAAGGTAAGGTTTCTATAAACCTCTTATAACTTTTGTAAATTTTCCCACTCTCTTTATTTAACTTTTTATATGTATTTAGGTTTAGGTACCCTTGTTTACTGCCTTAATTTAGGCGGTTGGGTGGACAGGAAACGCCTTCACTTGGTTTCAGGGCTCAGTGTCCACTTCAGCGCCACTTTCCGTGGTCACACGGACCCTGCGTGGGTCAGGGGCGGGGAGGACCCAGCAGGGGCCACAGGGACTTTTGCGGAGAGTCAGCACCCCCTCCCCGCCTGGGCTGCATTGGGGAGGTGGGGGCCGCTCCCATGAGGGTTCTGCCAGCGGCTCGCTGGTGTTCACGTGGGGTCGAGGCTGCGTCTCCGCTGTGGATGGACCTCCGATGCCCAGGGCGTGGAGCCCGGCTCCTGTGGCAGGTGCTGAAGTTCCCGTCTTCTGCTCAGACGCAAGCCCACACATCCCTCGGGTGCTGGGGTCAGGCTCCATCCCGTGTGCGCTGTCCCCTCCTGCGCGTGCCGTGCCATGCGCAGAGCTGTGCGATGGCTCACCTGCGGGAGCCCACCTGCGGGCAGGCCACGCTGCTGGTTGACAGTCGCTGCGCTTGGCGAGGTGAGTGTCCCGTCTCTAATGCTATGTGATTGTTACACAGAGCGTTCTCTTAAACGTGTAAGTTGTCTGCAGTTCCTAACGTTTATTTATTTATTTTTTTACTAATTTACTCATAATTAGGTACAATTTACACATAAGTAACATTCTTCATAGTTTTTTTCCCTTAAGGTGAAATGTAGTAGGACAGTGAATGAATGAATGTATCACTTGCCCCTGTCTCTCTCTATTTTTCTTTTTTTTTCAGATAAGAGTCCCAACTCTGTTGCCCCGGCTAGAGTGCCGTGGCATCAGGCTAGCTCACAGCAACCTCAATCTCCTGGGCTCAAGCGATCCTCCTGCCTCAGCCTCCCGAGTAGTCGGGACTACAGGCATGCGCCACCATGCCCGGCTAATGTTTTCTATATATTTTTAGTTGTCCAGCTAATTTATTTCTATTTTCTAAGTAGAGACGGCGGGAGGGGGGGGAGGGGGGGTGTCTCGCTCTTGCTCTGGCTGGTCTTGAACTCCTGAGCTCAAATGATCCGCCCGCCTCGGCCTCCCAGAGTGCTAGGATGACAGGCGTGAGCCACCGCACCCGGCCCCTATCTCTTGCCAATAAAGACTGTTCTGGTCTTTCCAGTGGGGAGTCAAGAGGGCGCTCACTTCCTTTGATGTCGAGGAAGCACCAAGAAGAAGCTGCCCAGCAGCCCCCAAGACAGACGGCAGATGCGTCCTAGTCGGGGAGACGCCCGAAGTCCCTGCAGCTTCTCTGCTGAGTGAGGCACTAGGACCTGCGCCTTCTCCTGGGCTGAGACTGTTCCCCTGTGTGTCAGTCAGGGTAGGGGTGTCAGAGGCTTTCCTAGATGCTCAGATCCTTCATAACTCCCAGCGGAGTGGAGAAAGCAATTCTGAGCCTCCTGGAGGCCTCCCTTCCCCTGGAGAGCTGTGACTCCCTTCCGTGGCTGCCTGTACCCTGCCTCACTTCGGCCGCGTTTGCTCCCCAGGTAGTGCCCGCCCAGTCTGTTTCCTCTGCAGCAAGGCTGGCAAGGGGCCAGGCCGTGGGAGGAGAGAAGTTCCCGCCTGAGGCACAGCAGCAGCTGCAGACACAGCGCCGACCGAATGCACACCCCTTCCAGAGACCCCGGGAAACGCAGCCCTGGCTGGAGAGCCAGTTGCTTTCTGTGCTCTGTTGTGGGGAGGCCTCTGGGAAAGTCACGCCCACTGTTGAGAAAAACATGAGATCTGCATGTGCTGTCCGTGCCTGAGGTCTGCACCCACGTGAGTCTCAAAGATCTCAGAAATGGGGCGGTGGGCTGTGGTGTCTGTTTGTGACTCCTGGCTTCGCTCCTTGTCCCCAGGGTCCTGTCCCAGGTGCCTCTACAGGCATAGGGTCCAGGACTGGTGACACCCCTGCAGACCTTCTCCCTCACCCGTGCCACCCCAGGGGACGCTGTGTCCAGCAACGGTGTTTACCTAGAAGACAGGCCTTGAGTGTGTGGGAAGGACGGGCCACAGGTCAAGTGGCAGAGAGAGGGCACCCTGTCTCCTCAAGGTGCACCCACCACCACCCCAGACACCGGTGAGAACCGGCTCTCCCTGGCGCTGAGCTCGGCAACCACTGAGGACAGGGGAGTGCACTACTGTGCCAGAGACACAGTGCGGGGACGTCAGTGTGAGCCCAGACACAGACCTCCTGTGGGGGCAGGGGGTGGGGTGGGGCGCAGCACAGGGTCCAGACCAGGAGCAGGTGCACACTTAAGCAAAGACGGAATTCCCTGCTGTGTCTTAAATTGGTTTTGCTCCCAGCTCAGCGACAGGGATCTTAGAAAGCCATTTCATATATATTTTAGGGATTGTATTGTTTTTTCCTGAACTTAAAACAAAAATTAACACACGTTTCTTCTCAGAAGGTAGAGGAGAAGTGCACAGAATTATCAGTCACTTGCTACCTCAACGAAGGTGAGTTTATTAAAGTTTCCAGCCTGTTGGAGAAAAAAAAGTTTGCTATTGGTTTTCATTGAATTAAGTCACTCGTACCTTTTTCCACCTGTGGAAACTTTGTGTTCTTTTTTTTTTTTTTTTCCAGTTAATGCAAAATTCATTTAACATAAAATTAACCATTTCAAAGCGTACAATTGAGTGGCATTTAGTGCATTCACTACTGTGTACAACTGCCACATCCATCTTAGTTCCAAAGCATTTGATGGCCCCCAAAACAAACACTGTACCCATTAAATGCTCACCTCCCACTCCCTCGTCCCCCAGTCCCTGGAAGCCTCAAGTCTGTGTGTTTCTTTTAAACTGGGACCTGAGGGCCACTGAAACAGTGAGCTTGGGGGACGTAGACTCTGTCTTGGGGCCCTGCGGACACTGAGCAGAGTCCCCCACAGCATGCCTGGAGCTCCAGGAGGAAATCATGCACACTTGATGTGTGCGTCCTTTGTCTGCCAGTTCGTGTGAATCCATTTGTCCTGATCACAAGCGAATTTACATATGGAAAAGTGACTGGCGCAGTCCAGGCGTCTGCCCCAGTCTCCGCTGACTTGGCTGTGAGCTGGACTGCCGCTGGCAGACTTTCGGTGGCGTTGCTGGTTTTCTCTTCCCTTCTCAGTTTGTTAAAAGTGAGTCACCAAGGGGTGATGTCACCCAACCGGTGGAGCAGCAGGTCCAAGCTCTGGCTCCCGTACAGAAACATTGAAAAACAAGCAGACGCAGTCAGAGTCAAAACTGTTATATTTACGGAAGGCGTGATGTGTACTTATAAAGATCTGAGTCATGAAATGAGCTCTCTGGGGGTAAAGTATATTTGACATTTTACACTGAAGAGGTGACAGTCATGGGGTCTTTTGCCCTCTCTGCTCTGAGTTGGGCACGGGACAGTTAAGGAGGCAGTTAATCTACAACAAGGCTCTGTGTTTGGAAGGGGAGGTTCTGCTCTCTAGCTGTTTACAGAGCGGGGACAATGAGGAAGACAGCTGAGCTGCGCTGTGAGAAGCAGAAGTTGCAACCATCCGGCACCACCCACTCTCCAGGGCTCAATCCCCGTGGGCATAATGAATTTAGAAAGCTCTGAAATTTTATTTTCTTTTACATTTACCCCCGTTCTCCAAAATCTTTCTGAGGAAGCATTGTAGAAGAATCATATATTTAGGTCATGTATTAGGTCAAAATTATATGTGGCCCAGAGGACTCATTCTTAGGGAGTTATGTCCCACGGAGGCAGTGGGGGTGGGCGGAGCGGCGTGGAAAGGACCAAAGCCGAATTCTAAAGCAAATAAGGGAGTGGTGGTCCTGAGCCTGATTCGGGCTATGTGACTGTCTTTTCAATTAACTTTTTAAGCAACTATTATTTTAGTGTTTTTAATCGTCCATTGACTTAATTGTAAATAAATGTCATAACAGCAGGGCTGACAAAAACAGGACAAAGCATAATTAAAATGATTACATTTTTAGAGTAAGTAACAGTTTCTGTCACTAAGTTTCCCAAGATGGAAATCCGCTGTTTAGTCGGTTGTTTGGAGGAGGTGTTGGGTCTGAAAGGTTAGTTATCTGGGGGTTTATATCAGCCAGTAATTTAGTGACATCACTTGATTTATCTGGGATATAGACACAAACTCAGTTTTTATGACAGTGCAGGTTTCCCCTTGGGCTGTGGTGAGTATATCCCAAGTTACATGGTTTTGCAATGTGGTCTTTTTTGTGAGAGTAGTTTCATTGTTTAAATCAACATATCGATGTGGTTGTGACTAAGGGCCTTCGTGTATGATTGGTCAGGGTCTCTACACGTCAAATGACATCCTCAATGCCCAGTTGTGGAAGGCAAATGATCACATTAATGGAACACAGAGTGAACCCAATCAGATTGCAGAGGAGGAAAATTTGCAGGTTTTGACAGGGTACGAATTACTAACCCAAGCATCACCATACCTCCGACGTGGGCGTAATCAGGGCCATAGGTTACTGTTAACGTTGTCCAGATACTCTTGGAAATAACCAATAAATATCTGGCCATTGTGCCATTCAGTGACATATTGATCAGTGCTTTGTAACATAATGGTGTGGGTATGCTGTTCTCTGGGTATCTATCTCATACATTTAGTGTTCTTGGGCCAGGGATCATTGGTATGATTTTTCTGTTTTCAGCACAGAGTGACGAGCTGCCCAAGAGGAGGGAGTGAGTCAGATGAAACCGTCTCCAATGTGTGTTACGTCATTTTGAAATTGAGTTGTCTTATCTCTCAATCAAGGCAGTGTTATTTTATCTCTCAGTTGGGACGGTGCCAAAGTCAAAGCTGATGAGCTGGGGTTTTTAATCAAGAAGTACTTTTCATGTCATTTGTTTTGTAAAGTATTATTTGTAAGTCAGTGATGTATAGTTATGTTAGGGTCCAGTACTGGTGACTGTTTTTGAGAAGCATGGATATGTTTTTGATAGTTTACTTAATCTTGTCTTTGGAGAGGAGATAGTTATCATGGAAGGCCAGAACCGTTGGAAGGGGACATGAGGTCGCGTGCTTGATGAGCGTTTTTTTGTAATCCGCTAGCATAGTACTAGGCCCACAGTAAAAGGAGTTTCACTTCGTGGGCAACAGCTGGTGAAAGTAGTACAAAGATGTGAGAAGTAAGGATGAGAAGCAAGAAGTTTCGTGAGAGCTTTGAAAGGAAAATTTTTCCCATCTATTAACAATTGTAGATATTAGGCATTCACTTAGATATAGGCCTAGTCTGGAGTCTTGAGTTTCAGCTTCTATATCAAATGTCATCTTCCTTTTGACCTGGCATCAATTTATTTCCAAGTCAGAGGTCACCTTCTGGGAAAACAGTCCACTCAGAAGATGGAGCCTTCTTTATATGAGAAATGTGGATCTAGGAGTCTATTTTTTAAAATTTAATAGCACAAGAGTTAATAAGAAGTACTTGGTAAGAGCCCTTCCACTTTGGTTGGAGTGTCTTTTAAAAGAGGGCATTTCTAGTTATTTATTTGTGTTGCCTCTGTGATTGCTTTTGGGGTCTTCTGTGTAAATTCTTTGCATAGGCTGATGTCTACAAGAGTTTTTCTGACCTCTTCTAGAATTCTTATGGTTTCATGCCTTATGTTTCAGTCTGTTATCCACCGTGAGTTAATTTTTGTGAGAAGTGAGAGGTGCGGATCCTGTTTCAGTCTTCTACATGTGGCTATCCAATTTTCCCAGCACCATTTATTGAGTAGGGATCCTTTTCCCCAGTCTATATTGTTGTCTGCTTTGTCAAAGATCAGATGGCTACATGAGGATGGTTTTATAACTGGGTTTTCGGTCCTGTTACATTGGTCTGTGTCTCTGTTCTTGTGCCAGTCCATGCCGTTTTGGTAGCTATAGCCCTTGTAGTATAGCTTGAAGTCTGGTAAAGTGATACCTCCTGATTCGTTCTTATTGTAAAATGTTGCATTGGCCATATGGGGTCTTCTCTGGTTCCATAAAGGTGTAGAACTATTTCTTCTGGGTCTGTAAAAAATGACGTTGGTATTTTAATAGGGATTGCATTGAATCTGTAGATCACTCTGGGTAGTATAGACATTTTAATAATATTGATTGTGCCGACCCATGAGCATGGTATGGTTTTACACCTGTTTAGGGCATATTAAATTTCCATCCTCAGTGTTTCGTAGTTCTCCCTATAGAGGTCTTTTACCTCCTTAGTCAAATATATTCCTAGGTACTTTATTTTCCTTGCTGTTATTGTGAAAGATATTGAGTCTTTCATTTCGTTCTCAGTTTGACCCTCGTTGATGTACAGGAACGCTACTGATTTCTGTACATCGATTTTGTATCCTGAGACTTTGCTGAATTTGTTTATCAGTTCCTGCAGTCTCTTGGCAGAATCTTTGGGGTTTTCTAGCTACGAGAGCATACTGTCAGCAGAGAGTGATCGTTTGACCTCTTCTGCCCCCATTTGGATGCCCTTGATTTCTTCCTCTTGTGTGATTGCTCTGTCTAGGACTTCCAGCACTATGTTGGATAGAAGCAGTGATAGAGGGCAACCTTGCCTGGTTTTGGCTCACAGCAGGAATGCTTTCAATTTTTCCCTGTTAGTATGATGTTGGCTGTGGGTTTCTCCAGTGTGGTGTTTATAATTTTCAGCTAAGTCCCATCTGTGCCTGTTTTGTTAAGCAGTCTTACCATAAAAGAGTGCTGAAGTTTCTCGCATGCTTTTTCTACATCTATGGAGAGGATCATACGTGGTCTTTGTATTTACTTCTATTTATGTGGTGAATTGCACTTACAGATTTGTATACGTTGAACCATCCCTGAATCTCTGGGACGAAGCCCACTTGGTCATGGTGAATTAAAAGTTTCTGTACAGCCAAGGACACAATTAATACAGCAAATGGGAGAAAATATTTGCATGCTGTTCATCCGATAAAGGGCAGATAATCAGAATCTACAAAGAACTCATGCAAGTCAGCAAGAAAAAGTAAACTGCCCCATTTGAAAAGTGGGCCAAACACAGGAAAAGAAACCTTTCAAATGGCGATAGACTAATGGTCAACACACACGTGAAAAAATGCTCAGTGTCTCCAGTCATTAGGTAAACACAAATCAAAACCACAATGAGATATCACTTAACTTCAGTGAGAATGGCTCTTACCAAAAAGTCCCATAACAACAGATGCCGGTGTGTTTGCAGAGATGGGAACAGTCATACACTGCTGGTAGGACTGAAAACTAGCACAGCCTCTGTGGAAAGTGATGTGGAGATTCCTCAAAGAAGTAAAAGTAGGCCCATTTGATCCAGCAATCCCACTACTAGCCATGTACCTAAAGGAAACAAAGGCATCTTATTAAAAAGGCACTTGCACTCAAATGTTCACGGCAGCACAATTCACACTTGCAAAGCTGCGGAAACAACCCAAGTGCCCATCAATACGTGAGTGGATTAATGAAATGTGGTATATATGTATACCATGGAGTACTACTCAG